GGAAGGGGGAAGGAGGGGAAGGAAAGACTGGAAGGAGAGGAGGGAAGGGTACCCTTGGAATGTAAAGTAAATAAGCTGAATTTAAAAAAAAAGGAAAGAAACAAAACAAACAAACAAATAAATAAGGCCTCTGCCTCCACAATGGATCCCAGAGGCCAGCCAGCTGCAAGGGAGCAGCTAAGGCTGGAGATGGAAGCTGGAGCCAGGGAATTAAAGAAAGCCCAGAGGCAGGCTGAGCCTGTGCCACAGCTGTGCCCTTTGCTCTTCTGTGAGATACTACTTGGAAGCTGAGAAGTCTCCATCTCCACTGTCTCCAGAAGCTTCCATTTTGGGCAGATGAGGATCACAAGTATCATAAGGTGTCACAAAATCAAACATTCTGCCATCACAGAATGATTCCAGTGAAGAAAACGCCACTTTCTCCTAGCGCTAGTTCCTTTGTCCATTTTCCTGACTACAGGACCCACAAAAATCTGTCAGTAGCCACTACACCTTCCACTCCTCACACTGTCTTCCACTGCTGTTTAGCAGGTGTACACTGGCTCATGCATCCTCTTCCCAACCGTGCTGAAGGTTGACTCCATTGCAAATGTGTCTGCAAAGAACCATGCAGCAAATAGCTTAGAAAATGAGATCTGGGGGAGGGCAGACACAACTCAAGTTTGTCAAGCCAGCAAGTTATGTGAGCTGGGATAAGCCTCCTGACTTCTCCAGGCCTCAGTGTCTCCACCTATTAAATAGAGATGAAATATTTTTCCTCCTGCTGAGTCAAAACAAGAGTGGGAGGTAATCATGTGTGCAACAATTTAGTGTGTCGTGTTCTTTTAATTTGTTTTGCAGATCTAGAGCAGGCACAGAGCTTCCCTATTGGGGCTATTACTTTAGCTGTGTACCCCATAGCAAGTTATCCCAAACTTAGTGGTTTAAGAAAATATAAGCATCGCTTCTCAGATTCTTTACGTCAGGGAGTCTGGACACAACTCAGCTGGGCCCTCTGCTTCTAGGTCTGTCCAAGACTATGATTGGGTTATTGGCCAGGGCTTAGGTCTTTTCAAAATGTTCCAGGAGAAAAATTTCAATTTGATGCAAAAATGGTATGTACCAGGCACAAGGTTTGACCTAGAAATTCTAAAACAGAGGTCTTGGTGTTCTTGAAAAAAAAAAAAAAAAAGTTTCTGTTTCTTGCTCTTATTTTCCCTGCTGTGAACTTTCTAAAGCTATGGAGGATAGTTCTTAGAAGTGAAAGCTACTAACCCTGCAGTATAAATGAGACAAGAAGGTCCTCTTCCACCATCACAGGGGGCAGAGGGGTGAAGGAGGAAGGGAGAGGGAGACCTCCAAGGAGCACTAAGAGAGCAGTGGCTGACTTGCTGAGTGTGTTCCAAGAACAGACCCAGCCCTGACCTCGGAGAGCACACAGGGCCAGGGACAGGCAAGAAAGCAGAGTCCAGCCTGGAAGGAGGCATGCCACGGGTGATTGACACAGAGATTCATTTTCAAACACCCAACAGCTGAGATGACCTGAGCGTGTGTTAGAGTAATGGTTCTCAACCTGTGGGTCACAATCCCTTTGGGATTAAATGACCCTTTCACAGGGTTCACCTAAGACCAAGGGAAAACACAGATATTTACATTATAATTCATAACAATAACAAAATTACAGTTATGAAGCAGCAGTGAAAATAATATAGTGGTTGGGGGTGACCACAACATGAGAAACTGTGTTAAAGGGTCGCAGCATTAGGAAGGTTGAGAACCACTGCTTCAGAGGGATCCTGAGGGCTTGGATTCTCTGTAGCAGAGTTCCTTTGCCCACACAATCTGCAATTTTCCCACCTGTGACTTTAACCTCACAGGTGCCAAATTGGCTACAGCAATCAAACTTGGCTTTTGTGAAAATGCAGCTACCTTCTGCAGAGGAGCCTCACCTTCTCTGGCCCAGCCCCAGACCCTCTTCCTTGGTGACCACAAAGCTGGACTTGTTTTCCAGGCTGGATCTGTTAGGATCCATGAATCGCTGAAGAAAGAGCCCAGACTCAGATGAGAATCCCAGCATGCTGGGGTCACTACCTTCACAAAATAGCAACGACCGAGAGGGGAGCTTGCAGGCTCCTTTTAAAGCCAGAAAATGTAATTTCTACTGTGGCTACATGACTCCAGTTGGGATTAGCTAATGTCCATGGAGGCTAAGTGATTCCAATTGGGACTGGCTGGTGCCCATGGAATTAACTCCTTTCAGACCAATCTCTTGTTCCCTGACGTACAAAACAGATGTTTCTAGTGAGCCAACCAGAGTCCTTCCCTGCGATTTTTTTTTTTTTTTTTTTTTTTTTTCTGAAGCTGAGCTCTTTTCACTGGCTGTCAGGACACATGAAGGCCTTAGAGACAGCTGGCGGCCATGTTTTCACCCACATGGGGTAGGGCTGGGCAGAAACTCAAGAAGTGGGAGGTGTGGGCCAATATCGCCAAATTCTTGTTTACCACCCTCCCCTTTCAAACAAGATAAATCTCCTTTATATTGACTTGAAATAATTCAAATGGGGTTCTCCTCCTCCTCCTCCTCCTCCTCCTCCTCCTCTTCTTTCTTCTTTTCCTTCTTGGTTTTTCAAGACTGGGTTTCTCTGTGTAATAGCCTAGCTGTTCTGGAACTCACTCTATAGACCAGGCTGGCCTCAAACTCACAGAGATCCACCTGCCTGTGCCCCCCAAGTGCTGGGACTTAAAGGAATGCAACACTACACCCAGCTCAAATGAGGTTTACTATCATTTGCCCACAGTTGGGTCCTAAAATATCAGCTTCATCTCACCACTGGAATTCAAGACTAAGCTGCAGGGGCTGAGGGTGTAGCTCAGCAGTAGAGCGCTACCTAAAATACACAACATGGGGGTAAAGGGACTCTGAAGGAGTGTCATGTGTGGCTCTGACAGGCACCGCCCTTCTCCCCATTCCCCCTGCCTTGCTAAAAACCATAAGATTATATTCCTAAAGCTAGACACCAAGGCCTATTCCCTTATTTGGCCACTTCCTTCTCCTGAGGCTGACTACCAAGGTCTAGCTATCAAAGTAGTGAAGTCTAACAATCAAAAGCCCTCTTTGGCTCGCCTAATTAAAATGCACAATTAGAAATTAAACACCTCATCCTTACATGGAGTTTCTCCTTTTACCATAAAAAGCCCACCATTTTCTTTCCAGCGAGCCATGTCGGTCTCCTCTCTACCCAGAGGCAGTCCTTTGTCCCTCTGGAACAAATACTTCTTACCTCTTACCCCTCACCCTTGCCCCTTTTCTCCCAGCTCCCTTGTTTCCTTCCCCTCATCCTCTATCCACCTGTCTTTGTCTCATATTCCCTGCCTTTTGTGCCTCTGGGGCAAATAAATCTCCTTTGTGCTGAGAATGTGGTCTTAGGGGGTCTTGAGATGACTTCGAGGTGCCCTACAAGGGTTCCCTCCCTAGCGTACCACACACAAAGAGAAATACACTAATCTTCCTGAGAGAGGTCATCCAGGAGTCCAACTTGTTGTTTTAAATCACATATATGTGTGACTGCGTGCATCTATGTGCACTGGATGTGTGCAGGTGCCCTAACAACCAGGAGCGAGCACCAGACCCCCCTGAAATTGGAGTTACAGGCATGGTGCGCTGCTGGATGTGGGTACTGGAAACTGAGTCCAGGTCTGCAAGAACAGCAAGTGCTCTCAATGCCTAAGTCATCTCTCCACTTCCTAGTCTTCTTCTTAGTAAAGTATAAATGATTGCTATCACCGTCGTTCTTAAGGAAAAACTAAATGAATTATACGCTTATTTTACAAAACATATAGGGCACTTTAAGGTTAGAGGTGCCTTAAAGACATCTTATACTGTGAAAAGATTGTGACTCCAGTTCAGGCCTGGATTTGAATCCTGATTCTACATGTGGTCCCTACCTCACCACTCTGGGCATCAATTTCCTGTTCTCTAAAATGGGACAACTTTACAGAATAGGAAGGGCAGGTGATATTTGTACTTCTTAGGCACCCTGGATATGCAACAGTGAGCATTATTTTTAGGCAAAATCTCTATGTAGCCCTAGCTAGTCTGGAATTCAGTCCTCCTGCCTCTGGGATGTACCACCACACCCAGAACAAGCAGATATAACATGGCATATCTGGCTAAACCAGTGGACAAAATTGTCAGTGAGCCACTGCCCGGAAGGGCTGGGCATCCAGAGATAAGACAACAGGAAGGGCACTGACAGGGTGAGAAACAGACAAGAGCTACAAAGCAACAGGCAGTCTGTGCCTTCCTGTGGAGTCAACAGCTACAGCTTGATCAACTTTTCTGACTTAAGGTTTAGCTAGTCTCTAGATTTTCCTCTTTCTTTTCTTTCCAGTTACTTTAGCATATAAATTATTTTTTTCTTAAACAACAGAGAAAAGCACCTCCATAGGGTCCTGCTCACCTGAAATAATCAAATTAATCAGTGCTGTGTTTCCAGCATTTGAATCCAAACTTTCACCTCAGGGCTCACTTTTTAAAAGCACTGCTCCACAGTTGGTGGGTTTTATTTAGTTAACGTCTCGGAGGCTTTACCCTATCCTCAATAAGGCTTTGTTTTCGTTCTTTTTTTTTTTTTCTTCTTCACACATGTATTTATTTGTATAAGGGATGTGTATGGATGCAAAGTACCACAGTACATTAAAGGACAACTTAAGGGAGTCGATTCTCTCCTTCCAACACGTAGGTCCCGGAGATCAAACGAAGATCGTTGGGGTTGGCAGAATCAATGTGCTGGTGTCTGCCAGGTCCGGTTCAGCTGGAAGTCAATGATTTTGTTAAAGAAAAGAAATAAAAGCAAAGGAAAGTTAAAAGGAGTCAGGAAAGGAGGGAAGAAAGGAGAAAGGATGCAATAAAAGGAAGTAGAAGACAGGCCCCGCCTCCGACCCCGCCCCCCAGACGCGGCCCCGCCCCAGGCTGCAGCGCCGCCTCCGGCCGCCAGGGGTCACCACGCGCGGCAGCCTGCATGCCGCCCGCTCGGCCACCCCTCTCTCCCGTCGGTCCGCGGGCCTCTCGCCCTCCCGCCACCGCTCTCGCGCTTGTGCCGCGTCTCGCGCGTGGTCTTCTCGTGAGAGACCTCGCGCCGCAGGGCGCGTGCCGTCCCCCTGCCTCGCGGCGCGGGGTCTCGCGGGCCCCGCTCCCGCCCTCCGCTCGCCTGGCCCGGACCGGAAGCGGCGCCGCACGGCCTGGGCCTGGCGCGGGGGGCGGGCTCTGGGGCCCGGTCGGACATGGGCAAGAAGCACAAGAAGCACAAGTCGGACCGACACTTCTACGAGGGTGAGGAGCGAGCGGCCTGCCTGCGGAACCGCGCCGCCCCTGCCCGCAAGGCCCGGACCCGCGGAGATCCCTCGGCGGGGCGGCGTTCGACTCGGGCCTGCCGGCCCCGGCGGGTGTTCGTGGGGCGCTGGGAGGTGGGGCGCCCGCCCTCGGTCTGCCCCCAGTCAGCCCGCGCCCTGCTGTTGTTTCAGAGTACGTGGAGAAGCCCCTGAAGCTGGTCCTCAAAGTGGGAGGGAGCGAAGTCACTGAGCTCTCCACGGGCAGCTCCGGGCACGACTCCAACCTCTTCGAAGACAGAAGCGACCATGACAAACACAAGGACAGAAAACGGAAAAAGAGGAAGAAAGGAGAGAAGCAGGCTCCGGGGGAAGAGAAGGGGAGGAAAAGGAGAAGAGTCAAGGTAAAGGTGGCTTCGTTGCTTATGGCCCCCGTCTCCAGCTCCCAGCCTCCTTATCCTCTGTCCAGTGGGACACCAAGGTGCCTGGGACGTCTGGTTTTGTGGAGGAGTAGAACAGACTAGAAGTCTGAATCACCTGGGAGCTCAGCAAGTCTTAATTATCCCCTCGATTACTTGTGCTGTCCCCACATATGTCAGCAGCTGAGTCCTGGTCCTCAGTGGCTGCTTCAAAGGATGCTTTTATAGTTCTCTTGGAAGGCTGAGAAGGCATTCTCCGGAAAGCCTCGGAGGTTTGTCAAACGTTCATCAGAAGTGAATGGGATCTGTGGGTGTTCAGATGTTGTTCAGAAATAAGTATTTTAATGCCACATCGAGCTGCAACGTGATGACATGTGCCTCTAATGCCAACACTCCGGAGACTGAGGCCAACCTCAGCTTCTTAATGCAACTGCCTCCAAACAAACAAACAAACAAAAAAACAACCAGGTTCGAGTCTGTTGAAGAGAATGTGATTAGAAGCCTGAAATAACTATAAAACAAGGGTAAAAACAGCCGTTCCCATTTAATAGAAAAGAATAAGTAGCTGATGTCTTGATTTATAAAGTAGGCTGAAAAGTAAGAATTAACTTTCTTCTCAAAGGTGAGCCCATCCATGCCTGGACTTGTCCAAAATGTTAGCTGCCTTTAAGTGGCAGGCTTTTTTGAAAATGGTCCTTTCTGTAGTTCAGTTTTAGAATCTTTCTATTGCTTTATACAGCCAAAGTGCCCTATTCCATATCAATAAACGCATTGCTGAGTAACCAGACCTTAGAGATTGTCTCTTTAAAATGTCTTAATTTATCCAGGGAAAAAAAAGAAATAGCTTAAATTTATTTCTTTCTGCCTGGGTTTTTATTGCCTTTAGCTAGATTGTAGTCATAGTCTTTGGTCAGGCCGTTTGCTATTTTCATTTCCTAAATTACAAAATGCTCAGAAGCATGAGTCTTTTTGCTTTAACTGAGAGCCTTGGAAGTGAACATGTTGAATTGTTTTACGTAAGATCTCAAGAAATCTTGTCTTGATTATACTTTTGGGCACTTCAGCATTGGGTATGCAGCTGCCCTAGAACCCAGTAATAGCAATCCCTATTGCTGGGATTATCTCTGTGTGCCACCACCCCTGTTTAGAAATCTAAGAAAAAGTGTGTGTAGGTAGATTTTGTAAGTTTTCCACATTTAAAAATCTTTGCCCTTGGGTAGACTTCTTATACGGAGTCATTGAGTTTAAGTCAATAAATTGGAAGATATTTTCTCTCAGAATTTTAAATTTTAGTGCATGTGCGTGCAAGCATTCATGTGTGGATGGACGTGTGGGTGCATGCTGGTACGTCCAGAAGAGGGTATCAGTTACAAGCAATTGTGAACTTTCCATTGTAGGAACCAAACTTGGGCCTCTAGAAGAACAAGTATTCTTAATTGTTGCATCATCTTTCCACCTCCCCTTCTCTCAGAGTTTTAAAAGCATTTTAAAATTTAAAATTAAGCATATTTTAAATGTTTTCAGGCTGCCACTCAAAAGTCAATCTGTTGCGATCTAATTCTTAGTTTGTGAGCAGTGTTTGCTTTCTTGGACTTTTTGGGATTGCCCCTGTCTGTTGTCATTGTTCTGGTGTTTCACAGTGGATACATATGCCTTTGATTCCAAGGTGTTTGCTGAAAGTATCTCTCTGATCATTTTCTTCCCTCTGATTTTCTTATTTTTTCTCTTAGTTTTTTTGTGTTCTTTAAGGGAAACTCAACTTTATCTTCTGAACCTGAGAATGTGCATCTTCAATCGTTCAGGTTACTTGGGCATTGCTGGTACAGGGCTCACACTTTAGGGTCGCCGATACAGAGCTTTGCAGTTCATTCTCAGTCTCTACATTGTACCTTTAGCCAGGAGCTCTGGGGACCCTGACTAGCCAGCCCCCTGTGCACAAAGCCGTCAGAAGATTCTAATGCACATTTCAGCTTAAGAGCCACAGTAGGAGGAAGGCACGTGTGGAGGCACACACCTTTAACCCCAGCACTTGTGGCACTTGTGGAGGCAGAGGCAGGCAGATCTCTTAAGTTTGAGGCCAGCATGGGCTACAGAGCAGGTTCCATGACATCCAGGGCTACACAAACAAAAAAAGAACCATAAGTCAGTATTATCTTTTATGTATTACTTTATGTACTATGTTGTGATGTTTCTCTAGACTATATATGGAGAAAGGATTAGCTGGAAAAGGGGGAAAGCTTTTGCAAGGTAATTATATTTACTTTCCTAATTGTACCTACTCAACCATCTAAAACAGTGGTTCTCAACCTGTGGGTTGCTACCTCTTTGGAGACAGAATAACCCATTCACAGGGGTGTTACCTAAGTCCATTAGAAAACACAGGTATTTACGTTACAATTCCTAACAGTTACAGTTGTGAAATAGCAACAAAAATAATTTTATGGTTGGCGGTCACCACAGCATGAAAAACTGTATTACAGGGTCACAGCATTAAAAGGTTAAAAACCACTGATCTAGAAGGTATTAAAGTCTTTTTTCTCTACATTTTTATTAAAACTTGTCAGACATTTAAATATTGCCATCAGAGAGGCTGTCTTCCAAGTTTTTGTTTTATTTTTTAATTTGGTTGGGTGTTTTGCCTGCATGTATATCTGTGTGCTGCTACAAGCCTGATGCCCATTAGACGTCAGAAGAAGACACTGGATCCCCAGAATCTGGAGGTGTGAGACACCCTGTGACTCAAACCCAGGTCCTCTGGAAGAGCAGCCAGTCCTCTTAACTGAGGTATCTCTCTAGCCCTGTCTTCTGGGTTTTAAAGTTTATAAAATTCCTGAATCTTGGGGAGCCTGAGCTGGTTTTCACATCCCTCCTGTGAATTACTGTGATATCCTTTTTTATTTGGTTCTTACTCTTTTTACTGTACTTGTGTTTTGTATCTATCCCTGTTCTTTGTTTTGTGGGTATTTGTGTTTCAATCCCAGTATATGGCTAGGTATTTTAGCTTTGTTTATTGGCTTTATTGAGGCACCGAAGCTTATAAATTAAATTTCAATTTAGGACTGGGGAAACAGCTGTTAAGAACACTTACCCTTCCAAAGAACTTGAGTTCTCTTCCCAGCACCCATATCAAGAAGCTCACACCCACCTGTAACTCCAATTCCAGGATAACTGATGCCTCCATGGGCACTGCATGCATGTGATGTACATACATACACCCAAGGCACACACATATACGTCACATACATAAAATAAACAAGCCATTAAGTCAGGGCTACCAAATGTGTTCTTTAAGAATCAGTCCTTTTATGTTTCATTTAAGGAAAAAAATTTCCTACTCTTGGGTCTCAAAGAATTATTTATCTAAGGTCTGAAGTTTTGCTTTGTATATTTAAGTCTTTATTTGGAGTTTTTGTGTGTAAGTTGGTTTCTGGATTTATCTTCTGTTCTGCTTATCTACCGTCATGTCCACGTTGTCTTACAATCACACTATGAAAATGCTTAGTGCTGAGAATGTTTTCTCTCTTGTACCTTTTGCTTCCTTGCTTATTTGGTTGCCTGCGGTGCTGGAAATCAAACCTAGCCAAGCCTTTAGGCTGTTAGGCAAGTGCTTTTCCAGGGAAGTACATCCTCTTCATTATCTCACTGTAATTTTTTCAAAACTGTTCTGTTCTTCAAGAAAAAGTATAAAATTTGTTTGTCAGATTTCATGGAAAATTCTGTTTTACAATTTTGAGTGGCATTACTTTGAATTTGATGACTTTGGAGAGAATTGGCTCACTTTATTAACATAGTATATCTCCTTTATTCAGATCTTTTACACTTTTATCTTTATTTTTTTTCTTAGCAGGTTCTCAACATTAAGGATCATATGTTACAAATTTTTATATAACATGCACATATATGCAATTCTATCATAGCTCTGTGTATATTGTATAACATGAAAATATATGGTTTTATTCAGATCTTTATTGGCTCACTAATACTTTATGATTTTTCCCAGAAGGTTATGGGGATCTTTTAGGTTTGCTCTGACATATGTTATATTGTGTTTGTGAATGGTATTATTTTTCTAATCAGTCATTTCTTTCATAGAGAAATACACTTCTTTTACTTGATGAAATGTTCTTTTTATCCAGTAGATGGCAGCAAAATACACTAATATTTCTTAATTTAGAATTTATTCTTTTCAGCGGTACCTTTTTCCTTTGAAAATAAAACAATGCGTATTTAAGATGTTGATTGTGAAATACTTCTAAATTGCTTCCCTTTGTTCTATTTAGGAGGATAAAAAGAAGCGAGATCGAGACCGTGTGGAGAGCGAGGCAGAGAAAGATCTCCAGTGTCATGCCCCTATAAGATTAGACTTGCCTCCTGAGAAGCCTCTCGCAAGCTCTTTAGCCAAACAAGAAGGTTGGGATTGCTTTGAGCTGTCTTTTCTGAGAAAGGAGGCTGAAGCTGTAGGGAGGGAAAAGACTGAGCATTAGCTTGAGTCACAACTTACAGACATGTGCTGAGTTCTCTTATTTCTCTTGCTTCCTGAGAGCTGTAAGTTGGCTCCAGTGTTGGAATGGTTTTCTCTGCCTTCAGCACTTTGGTGATAAATTGAATTCTTGTGTGAGGCATTTAGTAAAAGATAGATGAGTCATATAGATAGAAAACTGAAGTGCTAGATTATTATGCCTTTTAACACAAGTTTCCTGTTTCTTTAGAAGTAGAACAGACACCCCTTCAGGAAGCTTTGAGTCAACTCATGAGACAATTGCAAAGGTAAATGTTTTTCAGCTTTAAAAAAAAAGATGGTAATTAAATGGTTGAACATACAGGTCCAAAGCACATCTCTGTTTTTCATAACCTGAAGTCATATTGTGTGGCCTAAACCCAAACATTCTTGATTTTAAAGTAAATGATAAGTACCTTTCTTGTCAACAAAAGTAGTCCCAAGAGGGTGACACATACTCTTTTTAGGTTTGTTTTAACTGGCAACTTGAAGGCTTTTATGAAGTGGTAAGTTTCTCCTTTCTAAATTAGTTTCTCGTGTTCAGACTTGAAACTAGGAATAACAATACAGCCACCTCCTACCCCTGTTGGCAGTATAGAACAATCCCCTCTGTGTGTTTGTGCAGCTCCTGCGCCCTGGTGTTCAGCAGGTATTAAAATGAAATGCTGTACATTTTATGCCCCTCATTTGAGTGTTTTGTTTTTGAGACAGGATCTCACAATCTGAGGCTAACCTGGAATTCACTATACTCCTTCCTCAGCTTCCTGAATGCTGAGCTTGTAGGTGTATGCCACCATGCCTGGCTTTATGCTCCTTTTAAATATAACGATTTTGGAGGCTGGAGAGATGGCTCAGAATTTGGGAGCACTGGCTGCTCTTACAGAGGTCCTGAGTTTAATCCTCAGCAACCACGTGGTGGCTCACGACCATCTATAATGAGGTCTGGTGCCCTCTTCTGGCTTGCAGGTGTATGTGCAGATAGAACATTGTATACATAAATAGTTTTTTTTTTTTTAAGTCTTATAAAAATGTATAATTTTCTTTTTCTTTTTCTTTTTTTTTTTTTTTTTCGTTTTCTAAAATATTCTGGTAGGCAGAGTGAGCCAATGTTAAGTTCATAAAGTGGAAAGAGAAGCTCAACTGTAACTAAAATTGTTATTTTGATATATCTTTTTACTCAAAATTTGAATTCCAAATCAAAGATACCTAACATTACTTGAGATTGATAGTTGTGGGATATACATTCAGATAGAAAACGTCTCTCTTCACTGTGTTATCTGTTAGTGCAGAACAGAACCTTTTTTTAAGCTGAAATCTGATACAGTTTGTATGGTCAGCATCTGTCTGGCTTTCAGTTAAAATTAGCAGTTACTAGTCTTTTTGTTTTTGTTTTGCTTATTTTGAGACAAACGAGTCTCCGCATATAGCTCTGGCTTGGAAATCACTACGTAAACCATGCTGGTCTAGAGCTCAAAGATATCCTCCTGCTTCTACCTCCCAAGAGCTGGGATTAAAGGCAAGTGCTACTATACCAGGCTTTGGCCAGTCTCTATTCAGATATTCACATAGCTAAGAAAATGGTATCTGCAGCAGTCAACAGAGAAGAATTAAGTATTTGATATTGTATCCCAGTTGGAAGGTGTGCCTATAAAGTGTAAAGAGCAGAACATTTGTCAATAATACCACCGTACCAAAAAAAAAAAAGTCTACTTTAGTGTCCAGAGAAATCCATTAATCAGAACCCAGAACCACATTTTGTGGTTAGCCTTAGTAACTGGATGATTCTTTATCCTTGTGGCTCCAAACTAAACCTGGTTTTTAAAAAGTATATTTAATGAATTCTGGTGGTAACATTCTTGGCTAACAAATAAGATTTTCTTTTGTGGGTTTTTTGTTTGTTTGTTTGTTTGTTTTTGACACAGGGTGTCTACATAGCCCTAGCTATCTTGGAACTCACTTTGTAATCCAGGCTGGTCTTGAATTCAAGGAACTCCTCCGGTCTCTGCCTTTGCCTTTACCTTTGTAATGCTGGGATTAAAGGTGTGCCTTTAATTTAAATTTCAGGCCCAACTTGAAATGTATTTGAAAACATACTTTGTTGTGCATATATTTTTACTGTTTTTTTTTTTTTTTTTTTTTTTTTCAAGATGAAAGTGAGTTTGCATACTAATGGCAGAGATGTGCCTGTTTATTCTTAAAGTTGCTGGATGGTTGGTAATGGACAGAAAGCAACATTTTTCGGTGTTGACGCATATTTTTAATTTGTAATTGTCAGTGCTGAGAATGCTGTCTCACGTAAACATGTAGTGCAAAAAGAAGATTTGGGGGCGATTTCAGAAACTGTTATGCATAAAGTCCTCATCTCAAACCAGGGTTCATCCTAACTTTTTTTTTAAATGACACTTAATGCAACTCAAATAGCAGTTTGTAAAATCAGACATTCTAAGATAATTCAATCCAAAAATACACTAACCTGACAACCACATTTTGAGGAATAAGGTGAAAAAAACTGTGTTTCAATAAAAACTGAAAACCTTGCTTGTATAATAAAAGACACTGCAATTGGTAACATTAGAATAGTGTTAAGTCTCATCCATGGTAGTTTAGACAGTGTTTGTCGACATCATATGGCATGAAATTTGACATGTGTGTTCAAGGCCAAGGCTGCAGTCAAGTCATGCCACATGAAGAGGCAAGTGCTGACAGAAACACCTTAGATTCATAGAAGTTTGATTTTGAGTTAATTATTAGTTTTACCTTCAGAAAGCTTTCTCTATTGTCAAATTTTTTTGACACCTTTCCCACTCATGGTTATATAATGCCATATTGAGTAACACCCTACAGTTTAAGAAGCTAGCCTGTAGAGCATGGATACTTGACCCTGACACTATTAAAAATACTAGTGTTGTGTACTCAAACATCAAAACCACACTGAGCCCTGGCTACATCAATGATGGTGCCCTTCTTCTTTAAAAGAGCCTTTATACAGTGGGGTTGGAGTGAATTTTCCCTATCCCACTAGTTAACTTGAAAACTCCTCTTGTAGTATAAAGCCTGAGAATGAGCTTGTGATAGGAAGTACTGGTTTTCTCATGTAGGGGTCAGTATGTGTGTGCTTTGACATGCATGTGCTTGCTACTGCACTGTATGAATGTCGAAGGACAACTTTTAGGAGTTAGTTCTTTCCTTCAGCCATGTTTATTCTGGGGGTTGAACTCATCCTGCCTCTGCCAGATGTTCAGTTTCTATTAAAGAAACAGTACCCCTCCCATTAGATTCATACAGCATTCATAAGCCCTGCTCTGTAGTGAGTTACTTTGGGAGAGTAAAAGCCCCTGAAGGCACGTTGTGCATGGTAGGTTAGAATCTTCTTCCACATTTGTCTCACATGTGTATTCTGACCTCCTCAGACCTGAGCAACCGCAGAGGATGGTTGAAACAGACAGGCCGGGACCTGTAGGCTAAGGCTCCAGAGTCACCAGAAGACTAACAGCATAGGAGGGTCACACAAATTGCTGACTTCCCAAGGCCACTACCTCCAGTTGGGTGCCTGTCTGGAAGGGACAACAGGCCTGCCAGAGGGATGTTGCTGCAGAGTGAGTGCCCCAAGCAAGCTGTCAGGGCCTGAGGGAAGGAAGCAGAGTAAAAGGACCAGACCCTCTTTCAGTTCCAGTCCCTGTCTTCATGTCCAGTCGCATCCCTGTCCCATATCCCATCGGTTCCCACCACAGTCCATTAGGAACTTTAAATTCTTTTCTGGAGTAGAACCTCCATATCTACATAATGGAAATACTAGTTCATTGGTTGAGAAAAATATGCATTTATGGACTGAGTATATACACCTCTTAGGTACAGAACCAGAAAGGTTACAGGTACGTATTTGTAGATAAACCAGGCTGAGTCATTGAAGAGTTACTTGGTCTAGTTTACTCACAGAAGGTGCTGTTTGTTAATTAGGCTGCTCTTCTAAGAGAGGTTTTGTGTCTGAAGAGTACTGCTGTTTAAACTATTTTACTCTTATATTAGTTGGTCTTGAAAATCACTTCAATTTTTCATGGAAAAGCATAGAGATTTTTTTAATATATATATGAGAGTTTATTGTTCTGACTTCTGCTTCTGTACCAGTAGGTTGTGGTAGAAATAAAATATAACATTACCATTTATGTACCTGCACAGAAAAGACCCAAGTGCTTTCTTTTCATTTCCTGTGACGGATTTTATTGCTCCTGGCTACTCCATGATAATTAAACACCCAATGGATTTTAGTACCATGAAAGAAAAGATCAAGAATAATGACTACCAGTCCATAGAAGAACTAAAGGTAATATGTAGTTTCATTTTTGTTTTATGATAGTGAAAGGTTTAGCTCAGCCTGGCCTTGAACTTCTGATCATCCTGCCTCCACTTGCCAAGGACTAGGATTATAGATGTATGCCACCAGGTCTGGCTCATTAGGTTTTTATTAGAGAAGTAGGTTTAACTCTTATGCATTTAAACTGAGAGTTAAACTCTTGGATCCTATGTAAAAGAGAAAATTGTGTTAAAAATTGGCAAATTTGCATCAGATTCCCAGGAACAACATGATGGAAGGAGAGAACCAACACCACAGAGTTGTCGTCTGGCTTCCACATGTGCCACAGTGGGTGGTGGCAGACATGTGCACACACATACACAATAGGCAAATAAGGTAACTTCTTTATAAAAATGTATTTAGTGCTGGGCATGGTGGTACACACCTTTAATCCCAGTACTTGGGAGGCAGTGGCAAGTGGACCTGGATCTCTGTGAGTTCAAGACAGCCGGGACTATATAGAGACCCTGTCTCAATCTATTTTTTTTCCTCTTAGGGTTTTTGTTTGTTTGTTTGTTTAGTAATCTGCAAATCTGAGCCACCAAGGTGGCTAAGGCACTTGTTGTGTTTCAGCCTGATGACCTAAATACTTGTTATACAAGCCTGAGGACTTGGAGGAGTTTGAATCTCTAACACCTCTGTAAAGCCAGGCCTGACAGTGGGTTCTGTAATCTCAGCACTGTGAGAGGAGGCTTAAGTGGAGAGAGGCAGCTATCAAGAGCTTGTTGGCCAACTAATCTAGTTGAAAGAAAGAACTCCAGGATCAGCGAGAGAAGTACCCTGACATCACCTCATGCACACACAAATGCGCACATACTCCCTGAAATAATCTAGAAGCTACCAGGACAGCATGTATGTTTGTTGGGTTTTTTTCTTCTTCAAATAGTCTGAGTATATGTTGATTTCAGTAATGTACTTTCTTGTTAGTCTTTAAAATTAACCTTATGTGATTAAAGTTTGCATTAGACTGCACACACAGTTAACCTGGCTTGGGTGATTTGCCCTTTGAGGTGGGGGTCCCACATGGTAATGTTCAGCCACCTTAGAAGATGGACACTGAACACTTACAGAGGAATGAACCAGTAAACAACTTTATTGTTTCATTTTTTTTAATTCACATGTTGTTAATCAGCTAAGACTTGAGCAGACTACCGGCATCAGCTCTAGTTTGAGTGTGTAGGTAATAATCAACTTACCTGGAAAACCTGAATTCCACTGTTTTTCTTAATGGACATTTTTTTCCTGGCATATTTTTATCTAGTGAAAATTAGTCTGAAACTTTATTTCAGACCTTATCACTCAGGAGAAAAGAATTTTAGAACATGAGGTTTGTTTGTTTGTTGATCTTTCTCTTGTGGTCTGGCATAGTTAGAGTTTCAATTGCTGTGAAGAGACACGATGACCACAGCAACACTTACAAAAAAAAAAAAAAATTAATTGGGGCTGGCTTACAATTTCAGAGATTTACTCCATTATCATCATGGCAGGAAGCATGGCAGCATGCAGGCAGACCTGGTGCTGGAGAAGGAGCTGAGATTTCTACGTCTTGATCCGAAGGCAGTAGAAAGAGACTGATAACTAATTTTGCACATGTAAGAGCTCAGCTCTAATCTCCAGAGACATACTTCCTCCAATAAGGCCAAACCTCCTAATAGTGCTACTCCTTATGGTTCAAACATTCAAACACATGAGTCTTTGGGGACCATACCTACTCATGGTCACAGGATCAAGTAGAAGTTTGTCCCCTGAGTATGTTTAAATGTTGAAATGGGGTATTTTATCCTGCTGGAGTTTTCCACAGGCAAAAAAAGTGTACAAAAAAGATTCAGCTTTTTGAGTGACCAAGTGCCATCACACAAAGTACAATAATGCCAACTTGCATGGCAGCTAAAATTTAAGGATTCTGAAAGTCACCTTGGGCTAGGGATATAGTTGGTTCCTCTCTTTAAGCCCCAGCACCATAAATTACTTTACAGACAAGACATAGAATCATTAAAGTGATCTCTTGCCAATTCATAAACTCACTACTCTCGTGCCAGATATAGCCAACTGTTGGTTTACTAAATGTACTTGCCTCACTTGCATTCCTCTATAATTCACGTAAGATTCTGAGAGGTCCATAATCTAGCAAAATTCGTGACCAGAGCCAAGTGTCCACATATGTTTTCATCTGGTTTTAACTTAATAGCAAATTTGTTGTAGACTTTGAATCTGTCTGTTTATAAATTTAAGAGAACTTAGTCTATATTTTCTTTTCTTTTAAATGTTCTAAACTGTCATCACTACTAAACAGTGAGATTTGAATGATTTTGTTTGGGATTTGAAAGCTTGTGGGGTATTTCTTTCTGGTTATATTTTTCCCCTTTTTAACATGTTTACAGATGTGAAAATGTCTTACTAGGAAAAAGTGCAGGTCTCATGCTTGGGAACATACACATCTCTGAAATGTGAGCCCCAAATGCAGTTCTGATAATTTGGCTACTCTAGGTTTATGTTGTAACTCCTTGAGGCTGTTGAGGTTGTATGGCTTATTTCACATTGACATAGTTTTATAATATCTGCAAATTATGTTTAATTTATGGTAGTGTCTAAACACTTTAAAGTAGTGTAAACATTTTAATATTTTTATTCAGTTTATTTGAGCTTGTCAGAAATAAATTGTTATAATTTAACTGTAGTTCCAGTTTTTAATTAAAATTGAAGTGAAATATTTAACTCACTAAATGGAAACTTAAAATTTGTCTTTAAAAAATGAGGGTAATATTTCTAGTTATAAGAACTACCCAGCTTGGATTATTAAATTTGAGATAGAAATGTTTTCTTCAAAGTTTTTATGTATATAATTTTTTGTTTTGTTTTTCGAGACAGGGTTTCTTGTCTTTGCAGCTCTGGCTGTCCTGGAACTCACTCTGTAGACCAGGCTAGCCTCGAACTCACAGAGTCCACCTACCTCTGTCTCCTGAGCACTGGGATTAAAGGTGTGTACCACAATCACCTGGGTGTGTGATTATTATATTGGAAAGGCTTTTTAAGTTTACATTGTGGAGATGCTAACATGCTTAAGATTTTAGAAACAGGTTTACAGATATTTACTTTGTTAGTCTTAAATTGCTATAGTTATTTAACAAATGGTAACAAAAAAAGATGTCTGTTCTCTGTTTTGTTTTCCAGATTTTTACAGGAGGTATATGATTTCAGACAAAGAAGTAAGAGTTTTATTCTATATAATGTACTTTTCCCCTTAATATTCTCTTTGTAGGATAACTTCAAGCTAATGTGTACTAATGCAATGATTTACAACAAGCCGGAGACCATTTATTATAAAGCTGCAAAGAAGCTGTTGCACTCAGGGATGAAAATTCTTAGTCAGGTAAAGAAACTATCACAAATTAATGAATACTATAAAATCTATATGTTTGCTATAGTTAACACTTTTCCTTACTGACAAATCATATTAAAGTAGAGAGAAATAAGAAAATTTCTGTCAAGAAAAGCTAATAATACGCTCACATATAGTCATTTCTTTTTCAAAAGTTATATCACCACATTTATTTATGTATTTGTGTGTGTGCCTGCTTACCCACCTGCCACAGTATGTGTGTGGGAGTCAGAGGACAGCTTGTAGGGAGTTAGTGGATCCTGAAGATTAAGCTTGGGTTGTCAGGCTGAACCTAACCTCATGAGCCATTTCTCCAGCCTTTTTTTTTAGACAAGGTTTTGTGTAGCTAAGGCTAGCCTTGAATAAACCAGGATAAATAGCCAAGGATGATGACCCACCTGCCTCCATCTCCTAAGAACTGAGATTAAGCATATGCCACCACTTTTAGCTTTATTCAGTGCTGGAACTCAAACCCGGGCTTCGTGCCTGTGACCTGAGCTACATCCCCAGCCCCTCCTTGTAATTATTTTCCTCTAGCGCTTGACAGATTTGTTTTGCTACAGAAGATACAGCAGCCTGAATTTCAGAATAAAATTGGGTGAAGTGTGAGTCCTTTTAGGAGAAAAGTACTGTTTCCATTAGTATGGGAATCTAGTGTTCTGTTCAGCCTTGCACTCCCTAGTGAAGTACAGGGCTCATAGTGATAAAATATACAAATGAGAAATATCTTGCAGTTTTTCAAAGCTACCTCTCTACAAGAGCAGTCCTTTCCTTAAAGGGTAATAATGCGTAATAAAGAATGTGAGCCACTGTGTGGGAGGCAGAGACAGGCAGATCTCCAAATTCGAAACCAGCATGGTCTGCAGAGAGAGTTCTAGGGCTATACAGTCTCAAAGAAAAGAGAAAAAGAGTCATTGTCCAATTGCAGGAGAAAGCTTAAACTGTGCTGCACATAGATTGTGGCAATGAAGTTTATGAGTCTTACCCATAAAAAAAAGGGGTTGGGGGGTTGGCCTCAGTCTTAGACTCCAAAGTGACTTCTAGCACCACTTTTCCAATTCCAGATTAGGGCTAAAATAGGGAAGAGACTGGAAAGATTAGACAGATTATACAAAGAAGAAATTAGTTTCTTTATGACACACACACAGGAGAAGGGAATCAGGATAAAAAACTTAAGCCCGGGCTTGGGGCAATTAAAGGATAGAAAATTAGTTTCATATATTCACTTAGTTTTCTGAATTGTCTAGCGATCACCTGTATTAAATTCCTACAGTTGAAGAAAAGAGTCAGTGTACAGATGTCGGTGTCTGAATGCCTGACTTTGGGAAATTCTTGAATCAACTTACCTAGGAAAAGGAAACATTTTAATTGATGATTATCCTTGCACTCCAGATATTTAGACATCAAAACTTGTAAAGGAAAATGTAAAATGTTTGTTTTGTTTCTTGAAGAAAGACTCTCAGAATCTAAAATAAAGCTAATTCCAGGTTTAAAAAACCCAGACCTACTTGTTGTAAAAGTACATTGAGCAAATACAGTCTGCATTCACTCCAAAATAAATATGAGATAGGGAGAGACAGTGTGTATGTTTTTTGTTTTGTAACAGGGTCTCGCTATATAGTTCTGGCTGTCCTGGAACTTGCAGTGTTGACTAGGATGGCTTTGAACTCTTGGAGATCTGCCTGCCTCTGCCTCCTGAATGCTAGGATTAAAGGTAAGTACCACCATACCCAGTGTATAATAGATTTTCAAGGAAAAGTCTAGGGATGTTTTGTTTTGTCGTCTCCTCCTCCTCCTCCTCCTCCTCCTCCTCCTCCTCCTCCTCCTCCTTCTTCCTTTTAACCAATTCTTACTTGCATAACAAGCAAAAAGACTTCACTGTCTTGTAGAGTTTACTGCGAACAAGAGGATTAATTTGTCCACTTTCCCTTCTTTCCCTGCCTTGTTTTTTAAAGATGTTTTGGAGCTGTAACTCTCCTGTTTTCCAGCCTCCTTTTGACTTCCACTGTAGATGGATGGGATCCTTACAGCAGTGGTTTATAAATCTCTAAAAAAGTCTAAATCTTTATAAAAGTCTAAATTTAGACTTTCTGAGTTAACACTACTTAGTCTAACAGTGTAGACTGCAAAGACAGTCTCACTCCTTTCCTGAATGGTATCTTTTCAGAGACAGATGTTATGAGTACTCATTGAAAAAATGGTAACAGTCGCCACTTTTTCCATTACACCCAAATATTAGTACTTAATATATGTGTTGTTATTTTTATAAAGGAAGAACTGATGGCCAGGCGTGAGGATATAACCTCAACCCTTGGGAGATGGAAGTAGAAAGATCAGGAGTTTGAGCCCTATATAGGCGACAGAGAAGTTCTTTTGTCTTAAAACAGCAACAGAAGGCAAAGGAAAGATCATTGTAAATACTTGAGAGAATGCCATATCCTGGTCCCCTTATTTGTAGTCATATTTGTACTACAAGTACATATTTGTATTTGTAGTGCGGTGGCCTTGGGATCAGACTAGTGAAGTGTCTTTCCCTGCTGTTGAGAAGCTGGTGACCTTGCTGTGCAGCCGGTCTCCCCTTTCTTCCTGTAGATGGGGTTGGTGCTTAATTCAAAGCTGTCTGGTACAGAGCAAGCACTCCATCAAGTGTTAGGACTCTAAGACAGAAAGTGGCTTGAGGCCAGGATTAGGCAAGCCTATCTTGGAAGGGAGGAAGGCTATATTAAACAGCGTGTTTATGCAGAGGCATGAATTACCAAAAAAGAAAGTGCATTTCTTTCAAAGTAAAATTAAACTTTTTCCTGTGACACTTCTAAATTTAGAAATTTTTTTTCTTGTTTATACTTTAGAATTGTGTACATTATATATAAGAATATCCCTAAATGTTTTTGTTACATTTGATGCTTTACAAATTTATGAAATGGAAATTTAAAAATTACTGAGAATTTGTGATTTAAGTCTTTATCAAGTGGCTACAGTGTCAGTCTATACTAAGGATCCACAAATAAATAGATACAACCTAAGTAATGTATACAGTGAACAGCCAAATTCACTGCTCAAGTTATGGAGTAAAATAGCACAGTTTTTAAAAGCATACTGAAGAGGATTTTGTGTTTTTGTTTTAATGATATTGTTCAGTTTGGCCCTTATTCAGAGAAACTGTCAAATACTAATGCAAACTGATAATATCTTCCTGGAAAAAAGTTTAGTAGTAAGTATCCCTTCACCCTCCACTATAGGAATTTGCCCTGAAGTAATAATTAAGTGGCTCCTAGAGAGCTGTATTGACAATGTTTACCAGGAGTCTGAGAGTAAATATCTAGTCGTGTGTTTCTGGTTAATTTGTATTTATTATACATTGTTGTTATTAGAAAGCATTCTAAGTACTACATAGTGATAGGAAGACAAATGTATATAACTTACTAATAATTTATTTGCCAGATATTGAGTATGCACTCAGTTTGCTAAAAATATTACCATGTTCAGAGAAAGCTGAAATAACTGCTAACCCTGCTACCCTCTGGGAGATAGGGAACAAGTTTGTACTTGACCTCTGTCATATCTTCATATATTTGGAGTCTGATACATCACTCCATAGTTTTATAAGTACTTTAAAAGCCAAGTAAAGGAGCTAGAGACAGTTCAGTTGGCTGAGTACTTTGCAGAGAATTCAGGAAGCCCTGGGTTTAATCCCCAGTACTATATAAAGGGGGATGGGGAGGGAGGTAGGAGGATCAAGATCATTCTCAGCTACATGATGAGTTTGGGCCACTCTGAACTATATGTGGCCTCGTTCCTTTGGTGTGCTCACACTTGTTTTTCTTCCCTCCTTAGTAATGAGTGCTAACTCTCATGACAGAAATGCATTGCTTAGTAACAGTTACACAATATTTTTTTTAATATTTCTAGGAGAGGATTCAGAGCCTGAAACAAAGTATAGACTTCATGGCAGACTTGCAGAAAACTCGGAAACAGAAAGATAGAACAGATGCCTCTCAAAGTGGGGAAGACAATGGCTGCTGGCAGCGAGAAAGGGAAGACCCTGGAGATGCTGAGGCACAAGCCTTCAAAAGCCCCAACAAGGACAATAAAAAGTAATGCATTTGGACCTATGAAACTTAGACTCTTTTTTTTTTTTTAAGTAAGACAGGAATATTAATTCAAGCCTGACTTGGGAAACCAACCAAGTCTCCATGTGTTAGTGCTACCTTTCTTTCTATAAAAGTGCATTTTAAGCCAGGCCAGGTGACGCACACCTATAATCCCAGCACTCAGGGAGACAGGCAGGTGGATCTCTGTGAGTTCAAGGTCATCCTGGTCTACAAAGTGAGTCCAGGACAGCCAAGGTTACACAGAGAAACCCTGCCTCAAAACAAAAACGTCCATTTTAATAGTCTTATACCCCTCTTGTCATACAGAGCACTGTGTAGAATTGACCAAACAGCTCATAGAACAGTTCCAAATACACATTTTTATTAATTAAGGAGTTATAGTGTCAGGGAGTTAATTTCTATAGAATATAACTATAATATAAAGAGTTTTATATAACTTTATTTCATAAAGACTTAGAGTTATCTAAATAGATGGGCTGACACTGAAGAGCTGCTGGTCCTGGTGTCTGGGCAGGCCTCTGGCGTGGCATGGCATGGCTGGACAGTCACCTGTGCTACCCACTCACACCACTGATTACCAAGCGCCTCAGTGCCACCCATACTGGAATGCTAGAATTAACAGTTTGGGTTTCAACTCTCATAATGCAAAAGTGTAAGAAAAGTAATATAGGAACCTTCGCCAGGTTGCTGGAGGGTGACACTTTATTTAGTGACCGTAGGACAAGTCTCCACTTCCTGTGTTCATCTTTAGGATGCCTTTTAATATTTTCGTCTTATTTAGACAGTTCTTTTTAACTTTGAATTAATGTGTGTCTCAGGAAAGACAAAGATATGCTTGAAGACAAATGGAGAAGCAGCAACTCGGAAAGGGAGCACGAGCAGATTGAGCGTGTTGTCCAGGAGTCAGGGGGCAAGCTGACCCGGCGACTGGCAAACAGTCAGGTGAGGGGCCTTGTTCCTCCACCCGCTCACTGTGTCTCTCAGACCAGTGGCTTTTTTTAATTTCTTGTGTGCTTTCAGTCATATCTGCCATAGAACTTTCAGTCACCACAGTACACAGAAGAATAAAGTGTGGCTGTCCTGTTCTCTATATTGCTGGGTGTTTTTCCTTTTTGAAGTAAGGTGCCACTGTGTAGGCCAGACTGTCCTTGAAGTCATTATCCAATTGTCTCAGCCACTCATATTGCTGGAATTGCAGATGTGCACTACCTGGCAGCAGACTTTATTTTAATAACTTATATTCTGGTCTTTTGTACTTATGATTACAGTGGTTTTATAACCAAATAGAGTCATACATGGCTGCCCCCTCCCACCCTCCAACCCCCAGCAGTTTGTGAGTCTGTTAACTTTGATAGTTTTTTGTTTTATAGTTTGGGAGAGCTAATGGCCCACACAGCTTCTCAAAATTAGATTCCCTCATCTTTCATTTCTGTAGCCCATCAGTACATTGTAGGCATAGCTATGAAAGTCAGGGTTCTGAATTTAATGAATATCCTATGCTGTTCATTTGATGGCTAGTGTTCTGTATATATATATAGAATTTCTTAAACTTTATTCCACCTGATACTTCGGTCATTTTTCAGTGTGAATTTGAACGAAGAAAACCAGATGGAACAACAACCCTAGGACTTCTCCATCCTGTGGATCCCGTTGTAGGAGGTAGGATCACACTTTTAAGACTGTGAGCCTGGCACTGTTTGCAAAGGACAGTAAACTGTTATGTTGGTCAGACTTTGCTTTTGACAGAACACCTACCATAATAGCTCACAGGAAAAAGGACTTATTATTACGTTGGGTAAACAGTATAAGACAGTTCTGTCCAGAGTCCATGTCCCCATTGATTGTGAGCTTCTGCTGAGGTAGAACAGGTGGTTGGAGCATGCTGTAGTGGCTACTCCCCTTATGGGGGACAGAGGTCAAGGACAAGATCCTCCAAGGATTTGACCTCCAGTGACCTACTTCCTCCAAGTTTCTGGAACTTCCCAGGGTAGATGTTTACAGCCTTTTGAGCAGCACCTCTTGTCCAAACCATTAATACAACATTCACATTTAAAGCAACCTGAATACTAATAAATCTAACTATTAACCACAAAAAACTTGTCTGGGCACTTTGTGTTTTTTGCTAACAACTAGTTTAGCTTCTACCTAGATTAATTTTTTTTTAATAAATAATGCATTTCCAAACTATCGAGAAACATAGTAGGAAAGTAGAAGTGGATAGTAACAGAATTCCTACATTTAGGAAGTGATATCCAGTAGTCATTGTCCAACATAAGTTTAACAAGGCATATGAAAGGATGCAACTGAGACAAGTCCCTTACTTTAACACCCTGTGGATTAAGGACACCTGAAACATCACAGAAAAAGATGTGTGCCATGAGCTGAGTACTTCTTAAAAATACCTGTCTGCAGTTATAAGTCTTCCAGAGTACTAGCTCGGTCATAATTGTGTCTAAGAGAGAGGGTGGCTGCCTGACATTTGATAGGGAGGGCTTCCTTAAGGAGATGATGTTTAGATTAATGTCATCAGTGAGCTAAGGGATTGGGGAATAGCAGTGGTAGCCCTGGTGAGAAACTTTGAAGCAAAGGAAGAACTTGATTTGGAAACTGAAAGGGTAAGCCTACATTCACTAACCAGTAATTTGTTAGACTGCCTGCGTGGCATAAGCAAAGCACTGCAGAAACTAGGTGTGGTGGCAGGTGTCTCTAATGTCAGCAAGTGGAATATGGAGGCAGAAAATCAAGAGTTTAAGGTCATCTTTGGCTATACAGCAAGGTCAAAGCCAACCTGGGCTACACGAGATCCTATCTCAAAAAGCCTGAGCTTCCTTAGTGTTGGGGTTATAGGTGCATTTCAGTCTGTTGAGGCTATTTCTAATAAAATTTTACTTACAAGTGGAGTGTAATGTGATGATAGAGCGTTCCACAAGGCAAAGCAGTATTGTGAAGAGGACCAGGTTTATGTTCTGAGCCACATTCCTTTCCAAATTCAGATTTCCATAGCTTAAAAATGGATAGAGTACCAGGCGATGGTGGCATACGCCTTTAATCCCAGAACTCAGGTTGAGGCAGGGGCAGGCAGATCTCTGAATTTGAAGCTAGCCTGGTCTATAGAGAGAGTTCTAGGACAGCCAGGGCTACAATGAGAAAGCCTGTCTTAGAAAAAAAAAAAAAAAAAAATGGATGGAATAAAATCTGTCCAACCTCCTTCATGTCAAATAGATGAAAACGACATCTTTGGCTCACCACCATAAATGCCTGTCACTGCTGAGTTTTCTGTCTTAGAGCCAGGTTACTGCCCTGTAAGACTGGGGATGACGACTGGAAGACTGCAGTCTGGAGTGAACACGCTGCAGGGGTTTAAAGAGGATAAAAGGAACAGAGTAACCCCAGGTGAGGCCCTACCTGTTTCAGGGAATTGGGAAGAGAAAGGGTAATTATTATTCATGGCTTCAGTCACTGACTTCGTGAAGGTATTTTTGCAAAGCAATTCATCGTCAGCTTCAAAAGAAACTGAGAAATTGGCTATTAGTCTGCAGAGTCTTCCTCCCTCCTTTGTAGTAGTAGCTCGCTTGTACAGATGCTCTTCGTTGCAATGTCCCTCTGTGTCCAATTCAACATATTCATTCAGACAGATCGGGGATAGACAGAGTGACACACTGTTCTTATGTTTTTAAAAAATACAGTATGAAACAAGCATTTATATCACACTGGATTCTACAAGTTGCCTGAACATGAATTTTTTTTGACAGTGTTATACTTGAATTATGGACCCTATAGTTCTTATGCCCCACATTATGACTCTACATTTGCCAATATCAGCAAAGATGATTCTGATTTAATCTATTCAACATATGGGGAAGACTCTGAGCTTCCAAACAATTTCAGGTAAGTCTCCCAGTTAATACTCTGAACATGCTATTTTCTGAAATACTAATGTACAATGTCTGATTTATATGTAGGCTTATAAAGTTATCTAAATGATAGAAAATGTGTTTAGTATTTTTTTTTTTTTTAGAACATATCTTTCTGATATAGGCCTCTTTGGTATTTTAATAGAAATACATTTACTTTGTAGGTTTATTTATTTTATTTTATTTTATTTTATTTTATTATTATTATGAGTATTTTGCCTGCATGTTTGTGTGGGTACCACATATGTACCAGCTGATGCTGGAGTTGGTCAGAAAAGGGTATTAGATCCCCTGGGACTGGAGTTACAGACAAATCCAGGGTCTCAAGTGCTCTTAACTGCTGAGCCAATTTTCCTAAGCTCAGAAATACCTTTTGTGGAGCAGAGGGAGAGAGGGAGGTATGTTGGTTTGGTTTGGTTTGGTTTGGTTTGGTTTGGTTTGGTTTGGTTTGGTTTGGTTTGGTTTGGTTTAGGGGGGAGGGTGTTTGATTGCTTGCTTGGTTGGTTTTGTCTTGTTTTTTTTTTTCAAGACAGGGTTTGTCTGTGTAGCCTTGGCTGTCCTGGACTTACTTTGTACACCAGGCTGACCTCAAACTCACAGATATCCACCTGCCTCTGCCTCTCGAGTGCTAGGATCACAGGCATGTGCTACCACCTTCAGGTTACAGAAATACCTTTTTAAAGATGTTCCTTTTACTCAAGTTTGGGAGCTTTTTACATTAGAACCTGCTCTGCTATAAAACTTTACATGTAAGTTATGTTTCAGACTTTGCGAAGTTTAAGAACCCACAAAGCATTTTCCCTAAACTATGAAATATGACATGACAGCTTAATTTCTAAAGCACTCCACATTCAGGATGGTTTGACTGTCGTGTACCAGCAAACCATTGTGGTTACTCCCAGCCATTTCTTTCATATGTCACAGTGAGTCAATAATTTCTGTATTCCTCTCTAGGATGCTGAGTACTTTGTATCTGATCAGTTCAATGAGATACTATACCAATTTACCAGGACTATGGTCCAGGATGGGACATTAAACCTGAATTTTCTTTTCTTGGCATTGGTACCTTGTTAACTTTTATTGTGTTCAAGAATTTAATACAGTAGATTAACCATTGTCCTGGTTTAGGGGGTTTGTTGTTTTGGGTTTGGTTTATTTATATCTGGCAAGGACATGGTTAATTCTGATCACTCACGTATTAGTGTGTGTGATTTTGTTGTTACCAGGCAGGATCCCTAAGTTAAAGACAGGCTGTGCTTTCAAATTGAGCAGTTCCTATCCTTAGACTGTACAAAATGGGGCACGTTCCTTCTAGATTACTCATTGAGGCGATCCACAAATCAGCAGTGTGTGCCCACTATGTGCCAGACATTCTTTTAGACACGCAGGATTCCATAATGGAGCCATGCCTTCCTGTCAGATAGTGACAGTGTTGGAGCGAGACAAAGTGGCTCAAGGAGAGGTAATGCTTGAGTCAGGAAAACGCAGCAGAGGGAACTGGAAGTGCTCTTCTCTGAAAGCAGGACATCCTGCCTCTGAGGTAGTTAAGCAAGGGACCTGAACTGAGAGCTTGCCTGACCCAGCCAAGAGCATAAGGACAAGCTATAAGGAACAGACAGGTGGAGGGGAAAGCTCATAAGAGTCACCATGGAAGGAGGTGCAGTGAGGACTTGGTGTACTCAGGGGATCAGGAGCTTGTCAGTGGCCCACAGAGTAGTGACCCAGTCTGGCTTGAAGTGACCACTTTGGCAACTCTACAAAGCTTGGGCTTCTGGGGCAGAAACCAGGGCATGAGCAGTAGACCAAGGAAGTAACCATTGTGGTGTTAAGGGTTAGTAATTAGTAGGTTGCTGGCTTAACTGGAGGGTAAGAAGTTGGGATGATATCGGAGGTTTTAAGACAGGTTTACTGAAAGGGGGGTGATTTTAGAACAGCACTTGGGGAAAGTAGCTGACATTTCATTTTGGAGTATTTTAAGTTTGTGATACCTGTTTATGCAAACAAGGATGTGATTTTGGAGGTTTTGAGATGATATGGAAATCTTGAGGTGAGTGAGATTATTAAGCGGAACTAACAAGAAGCTCCATTGCTGACATCTTTGTTTTCTTCGGAGTATCCTCAGGAACATTTCACTTTTGCTTTATTTTGTGTGTGTGCTAATTCTTTCATGACGGTAAATTAATCACTGGTAAGTATGCACATGCAACGTTGTTTCTGAACAGACTGTTTTATGTTTATGAACCAAGGGCATTCAATGGGGAGAGTTGACTGTGGTAGAGACTAAGCCATGGAGACTACTTCTATTAGAAGTGATTTATCCAACTCTTTTTTTCAGCATCTCTGAGTTTTTGGCCACATGCCCAGATTACCCGTATGTTATGGCAGATAGTTTACTGGATGTTCTAACAAAAGGAGGACATTCCAGGAGCCTACAGGACTTGGACATGGTAAGTACACTGCTCAAGAAACAGGCAGTTTATAAATGGCTTTGAAGTACTAGACATTTAGTGTTAGGAGACCAGGGATTAGCCAGTGTGACAGCTGAACTCCATTCCCCTGAAAGGACAGTCTGTCTTGGGTGGAGGACAATGAATGGAAAGGAGTAAGTCATCTACCAGGATCCGGGAGAGCTAGAACATGACATTCTCTACTAATTTTGGTAAGACTCAGAAGTAGAGTTCAAAGGTCATCAGGTGCTCTGGAGCCTCGTGAAATGAAACGGAGTCTTGCTCCTGAGCTGGGAATGAAGTTGGCTGACAGGACAGGGAGTGAGGCTTGTACATGATAGCAACACACTGGGAGCCTCAGAAAGGAAAACCTTCCTGGTTGCATCTTTTGTCAACACTGTGAACTCTCAAGTTCAAGACAATTTACACTCTGGAATCATTCACATGTGACTCAAAGACTAGAATCAGGAAACATTCACACTGAGGGAGAGGGATGCTGATGCCTAGAATGTTCTGGTCACCAAGTTAGAGGAGTCTTGAAGTAATCATTTTTTAAATTACATTTATTTTTTTTTATGTGACTGTGTTTTACCTGCCTTTGTGCATGTGCACACCTGTTGGATCTCCTGGAACTGGAGTTACAGATGGTTGTGAGCTGCCATGTGAGTGCTGGCTATCAGACCCAAGCCCTCTGCAGGAACAAATGCTCTTAGGAAGGCCTGAAAGTCATAACTTTTCATGGTAGCCATGATCTCAGTGCTTTATCCCCTGTTTGCAACTGCACAGGTGGTGGTGTTTGCTTGGGTGACTTAGCAAGTCAAGTCAGTGCCTCAAATTCAGTGGCTTCTGCTTCAGAATCCTACCACATGAGTTACTTTTCTATTAAACGTGAGAGAAACTAACCTTTTCATCTGTTTAAAAATAAATGTTCTTCGTCCTTCCACGCAACTAATTAGAATTAGTAGTTAACTAAAATTGAATTGCTTTGATTTGGTGGCAGTAGCAATATATTTAAAATATATTAAATTTTCTGCCCTGTGATCCAGCAGTTTCCCTTTTCACAATTTATCCTAGAAAGTAAGACAAGAGTTACACATACAAAAGTTATATGGCTTACAATTTTCAGAAATTGGAAGTGGGCTGAATCACAGTATAAACCTTCAAAAAAGTCTAACACTTTTATTGATGTCCATGATGTGTTTTTCCCAACCCCAAGACAGGGTTTCTCTGTATAAGAGTCCTGGCTGCCCTAGAGCTCATGTGTAAACCAGGCTGACCTCAAACTCACAGAGATCCACCTAGCTCTGCCTCCCAAATGCTGAGACTAAAGGTGTGCGCCACCACCACCAGGCTACATGTGTGTCTTTTTATGTATGAATTATACTAATATGCTTGCAGTCATGGTGGATCATCTGCATTCTGTGGCACGTGCAGATTTTATAGTAAGCCTCTACTGTCAGAATACTGCTTCTTTAAGGTCTGTTCATCTCTAACGTTTCTTCCTATCCTTATCAAAGATTCAATGTGTTGAAGACTCTGTTTAGTCATTTATATACTGTTTACCAATATAACAGTGTTCTTAAAAAAACATGTTTTGTTTTGTTTTTTTTTTTTTTTTTGAGACAGAGTCTGTGCAGCCTAAGCTTCTCAAATACTTCTACTTCAGCCTCCAATTACTAGTTAATAGGCATGTACCAACACACTTGGCTATGTATAATCAAGCATAGATTGTAGCATCACTAAAAACTCATAAAGACTTACAATGCTAATAACTATATTAATTAAGTTGAGTTTAAAAATATATTCTTGGGGCTAGAGAGATGGCTCAGCAGTTAAGAGCACTGGCTGCTCTTCCAGAGGATGTAGGTTCAATTCCCAGCTCACAGCTATCTGTAACTACAGCTCCAAGTGATTCAATACCTCACTGTGACATACATGCAGGCAAAACACCAGTGCACATAAAACTAAGTAAATTGTTTAAAATACATATATTCTTATTTTCCATTTACTTTTCTCTTGCTGCAAAGTTTTCTATTTACCTTGATATTTGCACATATTCTGTTTGCATAAAAAAGTTTTCTTTTATCCATACAGTCATCACCTGAAGATGAAGGCCAGACCAGAGCAGTGGACACAGCAAGAGAAGCAGAGGTGCTTATATTTTATTCTTTAAGTGGAGAATAAGTTTAAGAAACCTAAATGGTTAGGCTTTATCTATTTTAAGCTGGCCATACTGCTTGGGGCTGGTGAGATGGCTCAGCAGGTGAAGATACTTGTCACATAAGCCTTGGGACAGAGTTTAGTCCTTAGAATCTTAATCCTTAGACTCTTCAACCTTTAGAAAGAAGAGAAATGACCCCACAGAAATTCTCCTTTGAATTCCCAAATACCATATAGCTATGGCATATGTATTGCACATACACACACACACACACACAAAATGGTTGTTTTTATAAAAAATATATTAATTGGTTATCTGAAGTAAAAAGTAATTTGGGGAGTTTATAAGTACGTCATGTAGTAGATGAGTTTTTTGTTTGTCTGTTTGTTTGTTTGCTTGTTTTAAGACAGGGTTTCTCTGTGTAGCCCTGGCTGTCCTAGACTTGCTTTGTAGACTAAGCTGGCCTCGAACTCACAGCGATCCACCTGCCTCTGCCACCCCAAGTGCTGAGATTAAAGTCATGCACCACTACACCCCATTAGTAAACAGGAATTTTAAAAAGGGAGCTCAAAGCCATTACCACAGTGTAACTGTTCAGCATGCTCACTCAAGGTTGGGCAACTGATTGTTCTCAGGAGCAAGAACAAACCTGGCAAGATGAAGAGACATTTACTCTCCTGGAAGGCAGGGTACATGCTCACTGAGCTCAGACAGCAGGGTTCCCAAAATGAGGAAGGCATGTAGTCAGACTGTATGGGTGGAAACCCAATGATGATTCCTCTGTGCAGTGCTAAAACACTGCAATGTTTCCTGGAAGATAAAAGATGGGCTACTCTGATAAATTAGGAAGAGAGGGGACCATTCAAAAGCAGTAGGATTTGCTGGGCATAGTGACACATGCCTTTAATATCAGCACTCAGGAGGCAAAGGCAAGTGGATATCTTTGAGTGCAATGCCAGCCTTGTCTACAAGATGAGTTTCAAGACGGCCAGGGCTACAGAGACCCTGATTTTTTATTTATTTGTTATTGTTGTTGTTTGGGTTCAGTTGGGTTGGTTTTCTTGAGACAGGGTTCCTCTGTGTAGCCCCGGCTGTCCTGGAACTAACTCTATAGAGCAGCCTGGCCTCGAACTCAACAGAAGTCCATCCACCTGCCTCTGCCTCTCAATTCCTGGGCTATGGTACACTCGGCTGTTGTTTGTTTGTTTGTTTAAGAAAAGGGCTGTGGAACTTGTCTTAAGCAAAAAGTAACTTAGCCTATCAATATAAAGGAAGAGAATCTGAACTTGGGAAATACACCAGAAGAGGTTCCTCAGCAATACAAAAGAGAGATGTAATAAAAAATTGACAAGACCTAGTGTGTGAGGTAGGTGATAGTATTATGGACCCGACCTTTGAGAGAATAAGAGTTTGTTTTGACAGGCATGTTTGGGACTTTACTGAAAGTTTGGGCCTGGAAGTCCAAAGTCTGGGCTATGGTGTGAATCTGACAGGTGTATAAAAATTAATTTTATTCAGCCATACAAGTGATACTCTCCAGGGAGAGCATGGAAGAGGTTGAAGGATAGACCCTTGGAGATGTCCAATGTTGAGTAACAAATGAATCCTGTGAAAGGATGGTTAGCAGAAATGGAACATATTCAGCAAGATTGGGAGCTGCGGATAAGCCCAGTGAGGGGCCCTTGGAAGCGTCGGTCATAACCTTAATCAGAGCAAACTCAGTAAAATGGTAGAGGCAAAGGGTAGACCTCAGTGAGTTGCTCAACTTGAGGACACTATATAGGGATGTTAAAGATAGAACAAACCCAAGCCAAGCTTTAACTGAAAGAAGGGAAAATTGTGATGTGAGATCCAGATAAAGTAGATGGTATTTGGGTAGCCATGCAGTCCTCAGGGAAAGAGGATCCAAGCAAGATCTTGTGTTTAGTGAAAGTACGGGAAAGGGAATCGGATAAGAAAAAGACTGGAATAGAGTTGTAAGGGTCCACCTGCAATGGTGAATCACAAGTGCACAATTTCTGCATTGCCCACTCTTCAGCCATGTGTAGATAGGTGTTGTCATCACCCAAGTACAATTGGTCCATGAACTTGTGGTTACTTCTTAATTGGGTGATACATTCCTTAAAAGTTGGATTGATGTTACGGAAACTCTGAGTCTTAGGATTCCAAAAATAAAACTCTTGAGACTTTGTTCTTCCATGCAGGGCCTAGCTTTGGGGCTTAGCTTTGGGGCTTGAGGTAAGCCAAGGAGCTGCTAATGCTATGGATCTATAGAAGGGCAAATAGCAAGTATGGAATGGCTGGGCTGAAAGTGCAGTGCCATAGTCACCAAAAGTAACAATTTAGACAGTGACAGACTCTTAGTACTTCGTCTTTAGAATGGTTGATACATGAGTCAAATGATATGAATTGCATAAGCTGTCATGTCATTACAAAGAAGTGTGGATTTATGGATGCTTTTTTGGCCAAGATTTGAGAACAGCATTTTAAAAGAACTCTTGGAAGATAGAGCCAAAATTATGACTGTAAGGTGACTAGGTGGAATAACTTTGTTTATAAGCACAAGCCATCTTAGTGATTTTTACTTGGCACCGTCATGGTTTAGCAAACTCAAATAATTAACTTTCTTGTCCTGTTGCAGCAGAATACACAAATAGAGCCAACAGGGCGCTTGGAGTCCAGCAGTCAGGACAGGCTCACAGCACTGCAAGCAGTAACAAACTTTGGTGCTCCAGCTGAAGTCTTTGACTCTGAAGGTAAGTGTTTAGAACCACAGGTTGCTAGAAACTGCCCTTCCATGTCAACACTAATTAACCTAATGTCTGCTACAGGAAAATGTTGGCCAACTGTGTTCAGAGACGAATAGAGCATAGCTATACTGTTGGCCTTAACTGGAGTAGAAGCTAACCAAAGCAGAGCCTAGAGCAAACACAGGTTGTCTTTGTTTTCTTCAGTGTCTTTTTTTTTTTTACCACACAGAGGCTGAGGTGTTCCAGAGGAAGCTTGATGAGACTACAAGATTACTCAGGGAGCTCCAAGAGGCACAGAATGAGCGGCTGAGCACCAGGCCTCCTCCCAATATGATCTGTCTTTTGGGTCCTTCTTACAGAGAAATGTACCTTGGTATGTTTGTCCCAGTGATGGCAGGTAGAGCAGGGCTGGGTGCATGAAAGAAAGGCTTCCAGCAAGTGGCAGTAACTATAGAGTAACTACAGTGAACACCGTGTGAACTTTGGCGCTCAAACTAAGTCTACACGAATGAAATCCTACATGAATGTAAGATTTCTGCATTTATGTGTTTCCAGTTCTTTATAGGATTTTTGTTGTTGGTTTTTGGGGGGTTGTTTTTTTGGTTGTTTGTTTTAATTATGAGAGGCTAGGTAGATGTTCAGTTGGCAAAGAGTTTGCCGTGAAAACATAAGAGCCTTAGTTTGGATCCCCAGCACGGGAAGGTGTAGTGGCGTGCATCTCCAACCTCAGTGAGAGGGTGGAAAGGGCAGATCCCTGGAGCTTACTGGTCAACCTAATTAAGTTAGTGTACTTTAGGTTCAATGAGAGACCCCATCTCAAAAAATGAGATGGCAAGTAACTGAAGAAGACTACTCTTACTGACTTTTAGCATCCCTACGCATGTGCACATGCTCACAAACATTCGACAGATACACTGTGTACATGTACACATCTAGGTGGCAGACACTTAAAATTCCAGCCCCTGTGGGGCTGAGGCAGGAGGATTGCTGTGAATTCAAGGCCACCAAGGGCTTTATAGTAAGACTCTTTAAAAGAAAATGTTGCTGGCAAGTTGTGGTACATGTGTTTAATCCCAGCACTTGAGAGGGAGAGGTAGGTGAATTTCTGAGATCAAAAGACCAGCCAGAACAAGTTTCAGAACAGACAGGGCGACACAGAACAACCCTGTCTCAGGGAAGGAAGGAGGGAGGGAGGGAGGGAGGGAGAGAGGGAGGGAGAGAGGGAGGGAGGGAGGGAGGAAAATGACTAAGGAACCATTTCGGTATCTTGACCTTATCCTCCTGTTTTTCCTAGCTGAACAAGTAACCAATAACCTTAAAGAACTCACACAGCAAGTGACTCCAGGTGATGTTGTAAGCATACATGGAGTCCGAAAAGCAATGGGAATTTCTGTTCCTTCCCCCATCATGGGAAACAGCTTCGTAGATTTGACAGAAGGTAGGTGCTCTGTTTCTGTGGGTGGGAGACTTTTGTGAATAAAAGGAAAATCGACCCTTTTCCTTAAAATAACTTTAAGGACCCTTGTCTAGTTTGGTTTTGCTTTGTTTTAATTTTTGAGATTAACATACAACGTAATGGTTTTTGTCATGGCATCTTTTAGTTTTCTTTCCATCTTGTTTAAAGATGGATTAATAGATGTGATACACTTGTCAAAAGCTGCAGTGATGACTTAGTGTAAGGCTTCTCCTTAGCTATGAGTATGGTGTGAAGGGCTGGCAGCAGCGGTTTTCCTGGATGCCAGCACAGTGGGACAAAATGCTGAGTGCTATGTTCTTCCTTCAGAGTGTGAAGAACCTAAGGAGACCAGTACTGCTGAGTGTGGGCCTGGCAGGAGCTGAACTAGCCTGGTATTTGATTATATTATGTATATATTTTTTCATCCTGAACCTGGAGGTGCTTTTCAGAAGATATTAACTATTTGTAAATTGTGTTTTAATTAAGCTTTGGAACAGTTCCTTTTAATGTTCCAGAGATTGGACTTGTATTAGGAAATAAAGCTGAACCTGGGACTGTGTGCCTCGCTGGCGTGTCAGCTGAATTGCCCCTTGCCTTACTCTGATTTGGGTCTAAGGATGGACGCCTGGAACACACACACTAACCATTTTCATGATCTTCTTTCAAAGGAGTAGGTCCTCAAAATGTATTAATTCTCCCACTTTTCACATTTACCACATTCATTATAAGCTGGTAGTTGTAAGAGCTGCCTTCCCAAAGCTCATCTGAATGATTCAGAAAGTAGTCTTGTGAGCAGGCCATTCTGATGGCCTCACAGACTACCACTAGTACTGGTCTGGTTTAACTGACAAGACTCAGCTTTTTTATTATCATGTTGTTGGATGTGTGTTATGTTTATATGGGCACATCCATGTGTGCCGTCATCATCATCATTATTGTTATTATGCAAATATGGGACATGCATGTATGCCATGGTGTATGTTTAGAAGTCAGAGGAAAACTCTGAGAGGGGATTGGGTTGGTTTGGTTTGGGTTTTTTTGTGTTATTGAAACGGGGTTTCTCTGTGTAGTCCTGGCTGTCCTGGAACTAACTCTGTAGACCAGGCTAGCCTCAACTCAAAGACCTGCCTAGGAGATTCATGGCGATAAAACATGCCTAGCAGATTTTTTTTTTATTCTCCAGTTACTTGGAGCAAAAGGATACACCAAATAAGATGAACCAAGTCATCTTTAGTCATATTAGAGTCTAGAGCTTAAAAAAGAGCTTGCTTCTGCTTCATTTCCCAAAGGCCGCCTGTGTTTTTCTGTGCCCCTGAATCATTTCTCTTTTCTGAATTACGAAGGTCAAGTGACCAAGCAGATTAAGTAGGAGACCATGAGATATGTCCCCTTATATTGTATCACACATCACTGGGCTAAGATGATATAACCTGTTTAAATAGCGAGCTGGGTATGGCAGCTCATGCTTGTAGTCCCAATACTTGAGGGACTAAGACAGGAGAATTGCTATGAATTTGAGCCCAGCTGAGCTATATAAGACCCTGCCTAAAAAAAAAAAAGTGGGGATGGGAACGCTGGAGATATGACTCAGCAGCTAAGAAAGAGCACGTACTGCTCTTGAAGGGGACAGAAGTTAAGTTCTCAGCGTCCACATTGCTCAAAACTGCCTGTAAGCTCAGCTCCAGGGGATCTCAGCTCTGGCCTCCTGCAGGCACTAGCACTTGTGCACACCCACTTCCACACCCAGAACCTAGTTTAGTGAGCAGATCTAGCACCCTTACAGAGCCTGTCTGCAAAACATCCAGACAGAAAGACTAACATTAGGGCCTGGAGAGATGGCTCAGTGGTTAAAAGCATTAACCACTCTTCCAAAGAACACCCAGGTTCAATTCCCAGCACCCACATGGCAGCTCATAGCTGTTTCTAACTCACAGATCTGACACCTTCACATAGACATACATGTAGGCAAAAGACCAATGCAAATAAAATAAAAATAAATAAAACTTTAAAAGAAATTTAATATTAAGCAGGAACAAGGACTGTAAAGGAAAGTTGTTTCTCTCCAGAAATTAGAGTGACTTTTTCGTAGACCGTCATTGTAATAGAATAAAAAAGTCAACTTAAGTATGTTTATATAAAGTCTTTTTAGATTCTGATTTTAATAGAGAATATAGTTTAGGGGCTGAGAGGCATAGGTCTGTTGGTGGAGTGTTTGGCTAGCATTCGTGATCATGGTGAGCTGCAGGCGGAGGGTGGCTCAGTTACTAAAGTTCATGTACAAGCCTGATAGCCTGAGTTTGGGTCCCCAGAGCCCAAGTAAAAGAAGGCTGGCTGCAGTACCTGTCTGTAATCTCCACACTCCTAGCGGAAGAGAGGAGGTGGAGACCAGAGAATCTAGCAGAAGCAGAAAACTGGCTCAAGGTAGAAGATGAGGACTGACACCCAAGAACGTCTTCTACACATGCAAGCCTGAACACACAAGAACATGCATACACACATACGCAAACACACAAACAAACTGGCTATTGTGGCACATGTCTGTAATCCTATCACTCTAGGTGTAGACACAAGAAGATTCAGCCTGGGTTATGTGAGACCTTGCCTCAAATATATAACCAGTTCTTCACCCAGTGATCTACTTGGCATGAGTCAGCTCCTGAAGACCCAGAAATACTTTAATTCAATTCATGTTTTTCAGTTGTTGGTCGAACATATAAAAAGGACCCAGGCACTGATGATTTATGAAAATGAAACAAAACACTGAGACACATGTTACTGGTAAATAGTACACAAAGAACAGACCATTAGGTATTTGCTTGTACCCACTCAGCATAGTAACCTGTTATCCACAAAGTAAACAGCAATAATCAGTTTTTGTCAGGAAGTGTCCTTAAGTAAGCCAGAGGACTTGGGTGTTACTATCTGTAGCCAGCAAAGGCCACCTTAGTGGAAATCCTGAAACGAATCCTTGACCCACAGAAGGGTTTGGGGGGAAAAAAAGTTCCAATGATAAGACAACTGTGAAGAAATTACTTGGAAAATTAAAAAAAACAAGTATGTGTACATAACTCCCAAGTGATTTTTTTTTTGTCAGTTACACTCTTTATGACCTAAAAAATAACTTAAAACTAGTCCTAGCACAGTGCTTCATTTGAAAATACAGAAAAATGTATGACTGTAAACTTGAACTAAATTGCTAGAAGGAAAAAGAAACTTGGCTGTTGGAAGAGTAGAAATGTGTCAGCCTCGGGAGGTTTATTCCTGCTCTCGTCTGAACTGCATTGTGACGTCAGCAGGAACTTTCCTAACTCCCCAGGAGAGCTTTGCTGGGAAGCCCTAGCCACTACCAGATTCCTTTGTGCAAACTGAATCGGCCCTTCTTCCTGGGCTGATAAAGCCTCACAGGGCACAGTACAGGCAGAAGGCCCTGTCTCCCTCCCCTCTGCACCCCTGGCTACTCATCCTTGGACCAAAGTCCCAGGTAAACCCTGGTCGGGCACCCTAGCTGCAGCCCTCACATCATTCGCAGACTCCTGTATGCATGATTTTCTGTTCTTCAGGAGGTTCCTTGGTGACTGCTAGCTAAGAACCATGGCATGGTGAAGTTCTGTGGCAGTGGAGTCATTTCCAAGAAGGAGTGGGATGTTTGGTCCTCTCATTTTGAATGGTCTGGAGCACGGGAAGACACCATCTCACAAAGCTGGCTTTTGCCTTGACTTGTCTGAGAACAACTTGGCATTTGTTAAGGGCCTCAATTCACAGGCTAAGGTCCTTAACACGTGTTCTCGCCAGGTAGATTGTACTTGAAGCTATGCAGAGTCAGCTCAGAAGATTGAAGGAAAGACAAGGGGTACACAGGTTGTCCAAGCCTTCTATACAGGCTTTCCCATGGAAAGAAAGCTGGACATAGTAGTGTACATGAGTAATTGAAGCCCCAGGAGACTGAAACAGGAAGGTTGAAAGAGACCAACCTAGGCTGACTCTGTCTCCAAAAAAATAAAGTGCAGACAAAAGAACTGTCATGTTATACATTATTTCTAGAGTTTGATCTTCCTGAACCTTGTCCCAGAAGACTTGCACCAAAAGTGCTTGATTGCAGATCCAAAGCTCTGTTGCTTCTTGCATCTTGCTATGAGCCCCATTTCTCAGAACTCTTTCCCTGCAGCCAAGCTAAAAACTGAACTCTAAACTGACGTTGGACAACAGTCCTATTTACATGTAGTCAGGTGGTTAAGAAAAGAAAACATACTGGAAAGGAGATCTTGTGTGGCATCTAACAGTCAGTAGTAAAGATAAAATTCCCGATAATGACATGTCCATTTCCAATGTAAGCTGGAGATGGTAAAAAGTGACAAGTGTCAATTAGAAGTTTTTCTCAACTGAGACTACCTGCCAATGTTTTCAACTCCATTTGCCAGAATGCCTATGAGAGATTAGCATCCCATGATGGTTATCGATGGGAGGAAGGGAGCCTTCAACCCCACTAGACAGCCTGGCTGAGCCTCTTGTAACCAGGAGACGGTTTGTCTCCCTTTATACGCTGTTCACTGGCCACCAGAGTGGATGTCTGTCTTGGTCATGCACTAAGATCTCTTCCCCAGCACCCTGGGAACAAAGACAGCCTGAAGTAAGCCAGTTATCCAGCTAAATTAGAGCTGCACAGGCTTAAGAGGTTCTGTGTACAACTTAGTAGCTGCTTCAAACAGAATCTGACCCACAGTTCAGAGCCATCCTGTAGTGCAAGTCCAAAGAAGCCACACAGCCATCTGCAGCTGTCATGGGGCTGCATTCTTGACTCCCTCAGGGAAGGAGACTGACCACCAGACACCTCAGTTCAGCCCGAGTCCTTGGAACTTGGCAGTGTCTGTACACACAAAGTAAGTCCGCAGCTCCCCTTTGCCTTTAACATTGATCAGCCCTCGGCACTCACAAGAATAGCCTAGTCCCTGGAGGATGGTGCACGTCTCTTCTGTGACCTAAAATTAAAAAAAAGAGTCCTGTCTTAGAGAGCAAAGGGATGGTTAAGAAGCAGTGTGTCTGTTGTCTGTTCCTGACAGTGATGGCTAGAACAGGACACCTTCTTTGGGGATGGTGTCTTTGCCCCCTGACTCTGCTTCCCAGTGGACTCTTACCTGGATTTTCCCAAGCTCTCCAGTGCTCTCCATGCGGCTGGCAACATTGACTGTGTTTCCCCAGATGTCATACTGAGGCTTCCGTGCTCCAATCACTCCAGCAATCACAGGCCCATGGTTTATACCTTAAGATGGTTTACAGTTAGCCATGTATAGTGACACTAAGGGAGCCCACAGAGGGGTAATGGCAACAAGGGTGCAGGTTTCCTTGGAATTATTCTCCAAGTTATGGTGCCCTTGTGGCATGAAAGATCCCAGCTATCCCTTGTCCATACTCTTGGACTCATTAGCTCTTCCCTATCAATTTCCATTTTTAACAAAAATAAGTAGGCTTTAACTACTTGCCCTTAAAACTGATTATGACTAGTTGGGTTTAATAAGCTTGTTTTATTCTCTGTTTTTAAGATCATTTATTTGCAGCCATGACTTTGGCCCTGCATTGATATAGTTATATATTATTAAATTTTTCAAAGGTAAGAAACTGGTGGCTGGCAAGACTGCACAACAGGTAAAGATGGTACCAAGTCTCATGACCTGAGCTGAATTCCCAGAATCCACACAGTGGGAAGAGAACCAGCTCCTAGAAGTTGTTCTCTGACCTCCACATTTTAGTTTTAAATTTTAATTTTAAATTTTTAATAAAAAAGGAATTAGGGAGGACAGCTCAGTTTGTCACAAAAACATGAGGACCTGAGTTGGATACCCAGCACCCCATTAAAAAGTGTTGACACACCTGTAACCCTAAAACTGGGGATGTGGACACAAGCAAATCTCTTGGGCTCATTGGTCCAACAACCTGACCACATTAGCAAGCCCCAGGTCCCAGAGACAGTCCTGATGCAGCTTGATATACTGGGGTGGGCGAGTGAGGGGGTAGAGGGAGGAGGGAGGGAGGTGGCTATGATCAGGATGTAAAGTGAATAAATAAAATTAAATTTAAAGTAATCAGCTCTTGAGATTACCCTTTGGCCTACATATGTGCATTCATGCACCCACACACATACGTACACATTTTCTACCCCCAAAGGTAACAACATGAGCTTATGCAAGGGAGTGTCAGTGTCAATGATAACATCAAAAGTCTGCTGAAACCTCATAGCCGAGGGTCCAGGACACCCTCCAATCAAGAGGGTGTGCACAAGGCTGAGCTGCCCATTTGTGGCCCTCACCAACTCGGAGGCGGAAGGAATTGAAGGAGTGCCTGTTGATTCCATCCAGCTTGCTCATCAGGGCCATGCTGAACTCCACCAAGACACCAATGTGCACGTGCTGCCGCTCCAGGTCCTGCAGGACATGGATTGCATACCCACTCTATGCAGCCTTGACAGAGCGCAAACACATCCCATGGGGATAGAGCTCCTGCCCCCACCAGGGGTCTCCAGGCTAGGCCACAAAAGTCAGAGGCCCCCTGACACAGCCTTTAGAAGGTGATGGGACTGGGGGAAGGCCTGTACCATTGACTTTCACACGGGCCTGGGGTACCTGGTTCTCATGTCCTGAGGGGACACTGAGCCCTGCGGCGGCCATGTAGGTGCTGCCAATGGTCTTGATCTTCTCCACACCACTGAACTTGGGCTTCAGCAGCAGCTGCAAAACAAACATGGTAGCGTTGGTGCTGAGAAGAGGAAGAAGGCCCACCTTCTCCCATACACAATGCAGATAGCCCAAACATGGCCCCAGCCGTCTGAGCTCATGGCTGCAGGTGAGAACACAGCCCCCATCATTTTCTCATCCCTTTCCTTCTCTGTACTCCGATCCTTTTAAGAACAACCTACCCAGTATCAGTTTCTTACTTAGAGGTAGGTTAGTGTCTCCCACAAAGTTCATCCCAAACTGACTTCTTGAAATGGTTGACAGCATGGGCTTAGCCTGAATCAGAATTGTTCTGGAAGGACCTAAATCTACCTGTTAGCACCTGCCCAGTAAAGATTTAATAAAAGTTAGCTTCTTGCTATTTAATGGAATAGTTTCCAGCTAGTTGGCCTCATGTTTTGTTTAGCTGCTGACAGGACCAAGGATGAAGCCAGAGCCTCACACATAGCTGAGCTTACGTTCTTGCATTGAGTCTCCTGCCCTCCCCACCACAGAGGCGGCAAGCTGCACACCCCTGTGCACCCTGGGCAGGCTGTACCTCGTCAAAATCAGCAATGATCTCATTCAACAGGCGAAGGCACTCCAACCCTTCTTTGTTGACATCGCACTCAGTGTAGAACACTTTGAAATCCGGAACAGATGCGAACATTACACAGACACAGTCATAAGACTGATGGTACCAGTCCTGCAGCAGGCCAGGGGAGAAACAGGATTCTGAGACCGCTGGCCCGGGGGCTCACAAGTCAAGGCCAGGGAGGGGAGGCATCTTGCCCTCAGCCGCTGGTAGACACAGACCTCTGACTTGCAAGCTGCCTTTGCACCCAGCACACTTGCAGGGCTACTGCTGAGTAGCCTAGGCTCTGCCTGAACTGGGCGGCTCTGCCCACAGGCTCCTAGAGTACCCCGCCCTTCACACACCTCAGCTGCCTTGTCACCAATGAAGTGGGCAGCCACGTGCGCTGGCAGCACATTTTCTAGGAGGAGGCGGTTCACATTCTCCATCGTTTCAAACTCCTCGTGCTCCTTCTTAAACTTCTTCTTCCACAGGCAGTCTAAGCGGCAGTAGTAGTCAATCTGCAAACCAGGGAGCCAGTGTCAAACTTGTGACACCACCCAGGGCTGGGACCTAGGGTGCTGGACCAGCTTACCTGCAGTGTTGCCCACCCGCCTAGCCCTGTGCACAACAAGACCAGCCCCTCCGTGAAAGGCCTCTGCCAGGTCTATCAGATCCTAACCCTCCGCAGAGGCTGGGCAAGCATCCTACACACCTGTCTAGACAGCAAGATGAGGGTGGCATAGAACAGCACGAGGTAGAAGTTGATCATGGTCTTCAGGTCTCGCTCTAAACATCTGCTGGGGGAGGGGTCCATCACCTGAGCCCCCAGAGCAAGGGCGTGGCTGTGCATGCTTTGTGCAGCAGACAGGAGCGGATGTGTCCTGAGGGGGTAGGGAGTAAACAGTTGCAGCTGTGCAGGGAAGAAGCCTCAGCAAGGGGACTTCTGGGTCACTCCGGAAGGCCCATCTGCCGAGTGAGGGTCCAAAGGCAGCCAAGAGCTCCCCTTGAGGAGCCAAAACAGCCACTGTAGACCAACATAAGGACCTGGCCAGAGTAAGGCAGATGGTTTCTCTGGGACCTCAAGCTTCTAACCACACGGGATGCTAGACAGCGAAGTCCTTCTCTCAGTCCCAAGCCCTGAGGGCTGCGGAGCCCTCCTCAACCCACAGGAGTGCACCTGCCCAGGAGGAAACAGGCAGTCTGCACTTCTGACATTGGTGACCCAGGCCACAACCCAGAGTAAGTTGGTTCAAGGCTCCCTTCTTATAGCCCAGAAACAGTAGGAGCCTGACTGCCAGGACCTCTCCCAAGAACCCATCAGTTAGCCATGTACACCCAGCTCTGACTGCTGGAGACCTGGAGCCTGAACAGTCACTGTCCATGGAGAGTAGAAACCACACCATTTGCTCAGTGTCTGCTCCAGTGGGTCTGTGGACAGAGATGTACCACACTCTGGCCAGATGCTAGGTCAAAACAAAGCATCTTGCAGCTGTGGGCTAGAGAGGCGCCAACAGATCGGGCCCCACCTGTGTGTACTGTTGGTCTCAGTGCCATTGCCTGGAACATGCCAGCATGGGGAGAGGTTGAAGAGCAGCAGGTAGGCTACCAAGGCCACTGTCAGCAGCAAGGCCTTCAGTTCCAGGCTCATCCGCAGGAAAACAGAGCACGCAATGAAGCCCAGGATGCAGCTGCAGGTGTAGTACTGGGGAGGAGGGGACAATGTCCTGTGTCAGTC